CCGTCCCGATGTCTTGAACCCCTTCCCAGTCCCCTTCCCCATCCTTTTTCCCCCCTCTTCCTTAGTAGAGGTTTTATGCGATGGTGCTGTCTTCCCTGTCGAACATCCTGGTACACAACATACTCGTACCATCTTGATCCCGCTGTTATGAGACCTATAAAAAAAATAAACCTGTATTTAGTTAAACAGATATTTGCATCATCAGTATACAATATTACAGTATCATGCATACTCAAATAAAACAAGTTGTTTGTCGCTAATAGGGAAAAGATTTTGGTGGTTCTTGAGTAATTGTTTCTTCTTGTTTTTTCTTCTTCCCTTGTTGAAGTCTTCTTGTAGTCCTTCTGCAAGAGAGAGAAAGAGAGAGAGAGAGAGAGAGTACATAAATATTTTCATAAATTATATATACAGGGTGTCCCATTTTAAGTGTCCACCCCAAATATCTCTCTTATTTTTGATTTTAGAGAAAAACAATGGTTCAGACAATGGTTTTATATGGTTTCGAGGAGGCCATAAGATGGTACCATTGATTTGACCTTGAAAAGTTATTTGAAGGTCACGTGAAGGTTATCTCAATTTTTTTAGATGGAACTCCTTATTTTTTATTACATATTCTTGTAGCTGACCTCGAGAGCTTCCTAAAACACTATAATCAAATGTCTTTTGGTGAAGTACTTTTTGAGTTCTAAAGCTCCAAATTTACAAAATTTTGATAAAAATACAAAATATTTCGTAAAACATTCACTTTCGGATAGTCTTATCTTACATGATCCAACCAGTCAAGACAAGATCCGAGCATGATCCAGCCAGTCAAGGCAAGATCCAACCAATCAAGGCTCGGATCTTGCCTTGACTGGCTGGATCATGCTCGGATCTTGCCTTGACTGGTTGCATCATGTAAGATAAGACTATCGGAAAATGAATATTTTACGAAATATTTTGTATTTTTATCAAAATTTTGTAAATTTGGAGCTTTATATAACTCGAAAAGTACTTCACCAAGAAACATTTGATTACAGTGTTTTGGAAAGCTCTCTAGGTCAGCTACAAGAATATGTAATAAAAAATAGGGGGTTCCATCTAAAAGAATTGAGGTAACCTTCACCTGACCTTCAAATGACTTTTCAAGGTCAAAGCAATGGTACCATCTTATGGCCCCCTCGAAACTATACAAAACGTGTCTGAACCATTTTTCTCTAAAATAAAAAATAAGAGAGATATTTGGGATGGACACTTAAAATGGGACACCCTGTATACACATATATATATATATATACACAGGGTGTCTTATAACTAATCTGGCAGAGTTCGTGGAGACATAGAGCGGGTTAAGACAAATATAAAAGTCCCATATCGTTTTGTGAGATTTACAATAATTATCGAGTTATTAATGACAGAAATCTGAGGAATGAGTGCACGTCGAGACGTTATGGGAGGAGCATCTAGCCGCTCAGGCTAAAGAGCACTGCCCAGTCGACAAAGGAACTGTTGCCGGCGCGCGGCGAGAGGAAGGACGACGCGCCAATATTCATGTCCTTACCTCGCCGCTCCTACATCCCGCCGCACCGCGTCTAAGCTCGCGCCGATATGGCTGCTGAATATTCGCGATTACAATTATGAGATTATTTTATGAGATACCACAGATAGCTCATATTGAATTGTAAAGTTCAAGATTTAAACGTTCTTTGATCAAGGAAAACATCGAAAAGGAGAAATGTTAATTGAAATTGTAGAGCAGGATGTAAACGTTATGGATGAAGATAATCGAATGGATCAGGAAGTACAAACTGAACAACTATCTGTTACACAAGATGAGAAAATACAAATCGATTCCACATTATCTATTAATTCACCCCGAAAAAAGATATTGAAAAAGAAAATCCATTTATTACAAAAGAATTACGGAAAGTTAAGAAACAATTATAGTAACAGGAAGCAAGTTATACAAAAAAGATTAAGAAGCTCTCTCTACCAATAGAATATTGTGATGCAACAGATCAAATACCATCTATTGCGTCCTTTGTGAAAGCACAAATACACCTGGCTCAAAAGTCACCAAAGGGTAGGAAATTTTCTTTGGAATTTAAAAAAATGTGTTTTACTTTATACCTCAGTGGACGTAAAACCTATGAAGTTTTATCAAAACAGTTCTGTTTGCCTAGCACAAGAACTTTACAACGTATGATCGAAAATTTAAAAATTTTTCCCGGGTTGCAAAATAATGTTTTTGATATTTTAAAAGCTAAAATATCTACTTTTAAAATTATAAAAAAGCAAAGCTTTTCGCAAACAATGCTTTGGTCAACCAAACGAATAACAAAACCATTTCTTGAATTAATTTCAATCGAATTCTACTATAACAAAATTGTTATTTAGAGCTTAATTATAAAAATGTTATGTTGAAATTTGAAAAATCATCATAAATTATAACGTCTATCGATAAAATAGTTCAGAATTTGTCGATTCAATTTTCTATTAAGAGTAACATTGTAAATAATGTGTAAATAGTGGGCGTTAATTAACAACATTCTGTATATATCTAGTCATTTTTCACTTTTTTGATTATGAATGGACTAATTTTATGATCCAGATATATACGAATACTATCAAAAAGTTGACGAAACATCAAACAGATCGATATATTTATATAATTATATATTAATTGTGACGTGGCAGCCGCGGAGGCGCCCGTTACAAGATGGCGAACCCTATACCGCGAGACGGGGGGGGGAAGAGGTTCGCGAATTACAAAGGGTTGCGCTAAGGGTTGCGCGAATTACAAAGGACCCTCCCCCGAAATCGTGATTAGTTATTATTATTAGTGGTAAGAGCGCGCAGGTGTGACGGTCCTGCGTCCCCGAGCTTTGTGCCCCTGGACCTCCTGCGCCGACCATGAAGACCGGAGGAGCCAGGAGGAAGAAGAGGACATCACCCATCGCCAGGACAGCCACCTCAGGTGAATGCTCCCCATTATCCTTTTTTATTATCGACTCCCGTATCGCCTCAAAAGATTCTCGTTGCCGTTTTCGTTGTCCACAGGCCAGTAGGAATATCGAGCGAAAATACCGTCGCTCCCGTGCTCGACGCGTGACCGAGTGCGAGAAAAACCTGGCCTAGGCGCACGCGAAAACAGCGGAAGCGCGAGAGAGAGAGAGAGAGAGAGAGAGAGAGAGAGAGAGAGAGAGAGAGAGCGCGAAAGTGAGACCGAGCATCCGTCCCGCGGATCGAAAACAAAGATCCGCGGAAGGATTCCCGTACTGGGTGAGAAAACGAGGAACGGGGAGAGAAAAGTCTCTAGACAAAACAAAGGAGAGATAAGGAAGAAAGGAGGAGAGCTGTTTTGTGAAAATAAAAGAGAGGATTACCGTTTTCGCACTCTCTGATATCGCTAGTCTGCTTCCGACTATTGCAGATCGCCTATAATTAGCTACCGAATATCGCTGTGTAGGAGATTCATTTTTGCCGTTAGCGAGAGAAAAAGTTTTGGTGTTCCACTCGCCCAAGGGGGTACCGTCGGTGGCTGTGTTACACCAGAGCGAGCGGAGGAAGTAGGACGAAGGACCACGCCGCCGGGAGGTTCCCGACTATGTAAGACCGTCCACCTGTTTTTCTCTTTCGGTGTCCCGTGCGTATCGTGTCTCGGCTACTATTTGTGAGCGCAGAGCAAGTCTCGAACTCGCGAGAGAACACAGCGAGGTGTATCGTATCGAGGGGTCGGACCGTACCGATTCCCGTGACACAATAAAAGGGAGATAATCCGAACGCTCAGTGCCACTCTTTGTTTCCCGATAACTTCCCGGATTTCCGATCGAACCCTCCAGTCTACCGACTTTAATTTTCGAGGAGCTACCGGTCCCGTCAGATTCGCGTGTCTCGGCCATTTGGTGGTTTTTCGTTGGTGTTGGTGATCGGTGCAACCCGCTGCACCTGGCGCCCAACAACTTGGTGAGAGTACGCACGACCGGGGCGCGTGGGCCGACGGCAATTTGACGACGGCGAAAAGAAATTACGTCGCATAATATAATAAAATGTTTTCCTAATGAAGTGTATGTATATTTGATATTCCATATAAAATGTGTTCTAATATTCACGATATTCACCAGTATTAAAAATCTATAGTTTATGTTATGTATTCTATAGATTTTCAATATTAGCTGTAAATATCGGAATACAGTCTATGATACGACTGAACAGTAAACTGTTTATTAGAAAATAAATCATTTTATATGTTAACGTAACTCTAATTTAAGCGCTTGTCCTACCTTCAACATGGCGTCGAGTCATGTGACCAGGGACCCACTACATCAAAGATGCCGACGCTCAGTGTTAATACTGTATATACTTATACTGTGCTTATACTAGGTGCGCAACTAAGTTTCCGAGTTTCACACATGGATGGCGCTAACGACACATGTAGTCTAAAGTCACTAGATATATAAAGTACCGCAACCGATGAAGCCATTGGCCGCGTTCAGTAGAACAAAGTGATCAGAAAGCGCTTAGTGATTATTGTCTGTGATTGGAGCATTCTTTTAGATTCTTCATAGACCCAGAAGTATTTATCAATCAGGAGCGAGATTCAGTGGAAAATCTAGTAATGTTGTCCAACTGTTGAGTCTGCTGAATGCAGCCAATGGCTGCGTTCAGAAAACACAACGGTTACACAACTGTTGAGTAATTCGTCAACGTTATTGGTCTGAATGTAAGGATCTAACAGTAATACCTCGTCTATAATAGAAGTCATAGAGTCGTAAGTCGTACAAATTGACCAATCGCGGTCGATTATTTTTCCCGGACTATGATTGGTCAATTTTTACGACTTACGTCTCTACGACTTCTATTGTAGACGAGGTATAAGAACCAATAGTTACTAAGCGCTCAGTGAGCACTTTGTTTTCTGAACGCAACCAATCCATCCAGAATCACGAATGCTCACTGTGAGCTCTTGCATCTGATTGGTGTATATTCTTAAATCTAAAAGAATATACCAATCAAATGTAAAAGCTCATTGAGCGCTCAGTGAGCATTCGTGGTTCTGGATGCATCCAATGTATAAGCATTTGGCCCACAAATGGCGTGGAATAGTGTAGATAGTGCAAAGTTAGTGTAATATATTTACACAGAGTGCAGTGTTCCTAACCTATTGTTGTCATCGCTGCGCTTATCTCAGATTTAACTTCTTGCTGTAAGTACTAAAAAGAATGCCAGCTTGTTACATCGAGGGATGCAAAAGCCGAAATGAGGAAGGTATCCGCTTATTTCGCATACCAACAAGTGAAAAAAATAAAGTACGACGCGAAGAATGGATCAGATTGATTGGAAGAAACATCTCTGCCAGAAAATGTCAAAATTTGCGAGGTAACATTAATGAATCATACACGTGAAAAATTAAATTTCACAATAACAATTATATATATTTCTTATAGCTACATTTTGGTGCGGGTCAATTCGAAAGAAAACGAGAAGATGGAAAACGACTGCTTTGTCCATGTGCGAAGCCAAACTTATTAGAGAAACATTTTGAGGACATGATATCTAATCAGGAAGGTACCAGTAATAATACAAATAAAGCAAGATGTAAGTATAACATTAGTGTTATGATACAATAATATACAAATATGAGTTATTCTGATTATTGAAATTGACCTTGTACAACTAAATAATACTATACTATATTTAAATTAATACATTTGTAGATAAATATGACAATTCTATAATAAATATGAAAGATAGTGTTTGTAATATTACAGACACCGATGTAACAACTGCAACACTGATATTAAACAGTTTTCATGACAAAAAGTTTGAAGTATTGAGAAATACTACATGTAATAGTAAAGATTATGAAAACAATATTCAATTTTTACAAAAGGCATTAAAAAGTCCGAGGCAGGAATGTAGACGTTTAAAACAGAACTTGCAGACACGAAATAATAAGTATATAATAAGTAATAATATATAATAATATATAATATATAATAATATATAATATATATATAATATATAATATATAGTATATAATAATATATAATGTATAATAATAAATATGTTCACTAAATTACGATAATATAAAGAAAATATATTACTTTTTCCAACCATGGAACTATATAATACAATGTATAAGTGCGAATTATTATTTCGATCCAATGAAATGCATTTAGTGTCAAATAATTTAAATGTTACTGAGTTTATAGACAAATTGTTACACTTGTGTCTAAAAACTATTCCGGAGTGTCATAATATATTTTATAAACTTATAAAAAAATTTGTGATAACAAGAATTCACTTTTCATTGAAAAAAGATAATAGTACTATTACTTTAGTTAATAAGAGTAGTCGAAGTGTTGCAATGAAAGCAGCTATTACAAATGTTAAACATTATTAATAATAAATATATTTTAATATTATCATTGATTTTTTCCTCATGCACAATTATATTCATATTTACAGAATGTTAAGTAATTGTCGTCTACTATGCTTATAATGTTTATCCTTATGAAAATGTAAGTACAAAAGTCCCGAACGAAAATGTTAAGATTTCAATACTTTACGAGATATAAGTGATCAAAATAAAGCTTTTTTGTATACTATGTTTTGGAGATCTAAATAGATAACATTTATTCTTTTCGATGAATTTCAAGTAAACTTTACTTTAACAGAATTTTTATTTAAGGCTTAACTATAAAGATGCACTATATTACAAGTTAGAAAGTCATTATAAATCATTATCTCTTTCAACAAAATAACTCAGAACTTTTAAATTTGAATATTCATGAGAAATAATGGCATATATTACTTAACTATGTATCGTTTTATATATATAATACACATAATAATGTTTATAACGAATATATAATTTGAATGCCCGCGCTTGCCTTGACTCCAAAATGGAGGACGATTGCGGTACTTTATACAGGGTGTTTGATAGCTGATCATGCAGACGAAAGTTGGAGATAGATTGGGTGTAGCCGAGAAGAAAAGTCATGTACCATAATGTCAAATTGGCAATAGTTACCGAGTTATTAATTAAAACATGTGAGCCAACGAGTGCGTAGAGAGCGGAGGGCGGCCGCAGTAAGCACATAGACATTTGATACAGGCGGAGTCAGCGACCCTGCCTGTCCGAGTTGACAGGCAGGAGGGGACGTGGACTATCCTTCCGTCTGGCGCAGGTGCTGACCGGGCACGGATGCTTCGGTCGGTACCTGCGCCGGATAAGGAAGGAGTTCACCACTCGATGCCACCACTGCCCCGCGCCGGAGGACACGGCGCACCACACCCTGGTCGCGTGCCCAGCATGGGCCGGGGAGCGCCGTGTCCTCTGCGGGGCGGTGGAATGCCGAGAGGGGGAGCTCTCGCTCCTGCACATGGTCAAAGCCAGCGAGGAGATGTGGACAGCGGCGATCTCCTTCTGCGAGACAGTAATGTCCCAGAAGGAGACCGCCGAGTGGGGGCGAAGGCCGTACCGGGGCTGCGGGGAGCAGCTCCCGGGCGGACAACGCCCCCAGGGGGACGAGAGACGCGACAGCGGGCCCGGGGCAGTGCCGGCCGAGGGGGGCTCACAGACCCGCGAGGGTCGGGAGTCCCCTCGGCCGCCCCGGGCCCGCCACCGGTCGCAAGGGGGGAGTAGGGGGGCGGCGAGACGCCTTCCCTGCCTTCCCCCCCGAGCGACCGGGCAAGTAGGAACAGAGGGGAGCGGTGCCCGGTTGGGGCCGGGCCCGCTCCCCTACAAATCCTCCCCTCCCTGACTAGCAGGGAGGGGGGTAAGGGGGGGGTGGATGTCCCCCCCCTCCTTGACAGGAGACACTAGAAGGCCAACCGGCGGGTGGTAACCCTCGTCGGGGACCGTGCCCTGGATTCTCTTCGTGGAACAGGGCGCGGTACACAGGTGGCGAGTGGCTCCCGGAAGGGAGCCCTGGGGCCGGGGGGTTGGGGAGGGAATACGGGAGTAGTTCCCCCGACTCCCCTCCTCACGGTCCGACAGGTAGACATCCCGCAGGGGTTTTAGTCGGTAAGAGTCCGACATAACCCTCTCCCCCCCAAGGGGAGGGGGTATCCATGATGGATTTCCCCTGCTGACCAAAAAAAAAAAAGGCGGAGTCAGCGAGTGGCGATAGGCAAGCGCGCGCGGCGAGGGGCAACGTAAGTGACAAGAGGCGATCGCGCGCGACGAGGAGCGAGCGAGCTTTTTCTTTATAGCTTTTTCCTTATAGCTTTTCCTTATAACTCGCTCGCTCCTCGTCGTTCGCGCTCGCTCGCTCTTCGTCGCGCTCGCTCGTTCTTCGTCGCGCTCGCTCGTCTCTTGTCGCTTGCGCTCGCTCGCTCCTCGTCGTTCGCGCTCGCTCGCTCCTCGTCGTTCGCGCTCGCTCGCTCCTCGTCGCGCGCGTTCGCCTCTTGTTGTTTACGTTGCCTCTCGCCGCGTGCGCTCGCCTACCGCCACTCGCTGACTCCGCCTGTATCAAATGTCTATGTGCTTACTGTGGTCGCCCTCCGCTCTCTACGCGCTCGTTGGCTCACATGTTTTAATTAATAACTCGATAACTATTGCCAATTTGACATTATGGTACATGACTTTTTTTCTCGGCTACACCCAATCTATCTCCAACTTTCGTCTGCATGATCAGCTATCAAACACCCTGTATATCTAGTGACTTTAACTACGTGTCAGTCTTCGACGACATCTCGTGTGTGATTCTTTTAGCTGTTTTATTGAGTCTTTGTTGTAAAGGATAACGTCAACTAACTCTTCTCTTGTCTTTCGGCATAACCTTTTTAGCTCTAATTCGATATGGCTGCACATATGCAACAATATCATGTTGCGGTTTAATAATCTTCATCACTTTGTACAAATATTGATATAAATTTGTGATACAAATAATATAAATAGTAATATATATTGGGTGAGTGCAAAAGTTCGTGCGGAGTTTCAATAGATGGAGTTATAAGCGTCGTAAAGTGTTGTCATTAATACTTCCATCTACATATTATATAACGTTGGAAAGGTGACGTCTTCAGCTGTTATTAAAAAAAAAATCATTTGTTTTCATACAAACTGCTTCGAGAAATATCACTTTAAAAATGAGTATCGATAAGATGCATTTACGGCATGTTATGCTTTACGAGTTTCGGAAGGGAATAAACGTTGCCGCAGCCGTAAAAAACATTCAGGATGTTTATCAGGATGAAGCACCAGCTAAACGAACTGTGGAAAAATGGTTTGCTAAATTTCGGCGCGGAGAATTTAACCTTGAAGACGAGCCACGCTCTGGTCGACCTTCTGACATTGATGACGATGTTTTGCGTACTTTAGTGCTCAATAATCCGCGAATTTCAACAGAAGAAGTTGCTACTACTCACTAAACGTTGACCGATCAACCGCTTTTCGGCGTTTAAAAAAGATGGAATTCGATTTGAAGCTCGATATATGGGTGCCCCATTTGCTGACTGAGAAGAACAAAATCAAGCGAATTTCTGCAGCCGTTTCTTTACTCGGGCGGCTCAATAACGAGTCGTTTTTGGATCGACTAGTAACGGGCGATGAGAAATGGGTCCTCTACAACAATGTTCAGCGCAAACGGACATGGAAACAATCAGGTGAGCATGGTGACGCAATGCCAAAGGCCAGTTTGCACCCGATGAAGGTGATGCTCTCTGTTTGGTGGGATTGCAAGGGCATAATCTATTTCGAGCTTCTCCCCGCTGGCGAAACGATTGATTCGGACAAGTACTGTCGCCAATTAACCAATCTGAATCGAGAAATAAAAGAGAAACGTCCGATTTTGTCAAATCGCAAGGGAGTCGTCTTTCATCACGACAACGCCAGACCACACGTTTCGAAAAAGACGCTGCGCAAACTGAAGAGCCTGAAATGGGATGTCTTAACGCATCCACCGTATTCTCCTGATACCGCACCATCTGACTATCACTTGTTCCGGTCATTGCAAAATTATTTAAATGGAAAAAACTTTGACTCTTTGGAGGCCTTAAAAAACGGCGTCTCTTCGTTCTTCGAATCTAAACCGCGCAGTTTTTATGATCGAGGCATCCGTATGCTGCCAGAACGTTGGGAAAGGATTATAGAAAACGATGGAGAATATATCATTGATTGAATAAAGATTTTTGTTTGCCTAATCACTGTGTGACTTTTACTCACAAACTCCGCACGAACTTTTGCACTCACCCAATATTTATGATACAAACAGTATTTAAATACATGTTTTCTTTCTTTTATTTTACTTTCCTTCGTAGGAATGTGTTACTGTCTGTAAAGATAGTTAGTGATAAATTATAGTAGTGTTTTATGGTATAAATATGGTTATATAGAAGAAGAAACCAGTATTTTTGAAACATCTATAGACTTGTTTTACAAAAGAATCTAAAAAGCCACATGCGATATTTGCGACAGTATTACTATAATTATTTGCACTTAGTATAAGAAATCACTATGTATTCAACATTTCTTTCATGATTATCACGTGTGCAACATGGTAGGTATGTATGAACTATAAGTAAACATAATAATATATAAATAAATAATATATATAAATATATATATAAATAATGTACATAAACAAATAATATAATAATAAATAAATGAATAAAATAATAACGTTGGTTGGAATCGCATTCTATTATTATACATTTTATATCCGATATATACTTTGTTAAACAATGTCTTATTGGGAGTACAAATTAGTTCGGTCCGTTTTTTGTGTTAAAAGATGTATTTATTTCAAAATAAAATGAATGAACAGATGAATTAAAGTATTTTCCATCGCTGGCTACTATTTTCTCTCATTTCTCAGGCAATTTTCGAATTCCATCTGGAAAAAATGACTTGTCTTTTGAGGCGATCCAAGTTTGGAGCCAATTTTCGATATCTGCGAAAGAAGTGAATCGGTGACCTGCCAAATCGTGCTGCATCCTTCGGAACAACCAGTAATC